GAGCTGGTGGATCGCGGAGTCCACATTGTCTCCAGAGGTAGGGCGCAGCTTTTTGCTCTGAACCCCCTAAGTGGCAGTTTGGTCACCGCGGGCAGGATAGACTGAGAGGAGCTCTGTGCTCAGAGCACACAGTGTCTGGTTAACTTTGAAGTCCTGGTGGGGGTGCCTGGGTGGCTCAGTCATTGAGCGTCTGCCTTCGGCTCAGGTCATGATCCCAGGGTCCTGGGATCGAGCCCCGCATCGGCTCCCTGCTCCACAGGAAACCTGCTTCTCCCTCTCCCGCTCCCCCTGCTTGCATTCCCTCTCTTGCTGTCTCTCTCTCTGTTGTATAAATAAATTAAAAAAAAATCTTTGAAGTCCTGGTGGAAGAGTAAAACTTTATGGAATGGAAGTAGAAGTAACTGATATAAACGACAATGTGCTAGAATTCCAGGCTGAGAATCTGGAAGTAAAAATTAATGAAATCGCTGCACCTGGAACATGTTATCTGCTCCCAGAGGCTGTTGACCCGGACGTGGGCATGAATTCCTTGCAGAGCTACCAGCTCAGCCCCAATCACCACTTCTCCCTGGACGTGCAAACTGGAGGTGACGGAACTCTACACCCAGAGCTGGTGCTGGAGAAGGCCCTGGACTGTGAGGAAGAGGCTGCTCACCACCTGGTCCTCTTCGCCTCGGTGACCCACGTCGCTCCAGCACAGTGCACATCCACGTGACAGTGCTGGATACAAACGACAATGCCCCGGTTTTTGCTCTACCGATTTACCGAGTGAAAGTCCCAGAGAACGTGCCCCCAGGCACCCGACTGCTTACTGTGAGCGCTAGCGACCGGGATGAGGGAGCCAACGGAGAAGTAGCCTATAAGTTCTGGAAAATTAGTGAAAAACAGTCTCCGTTATTCTAGCTGAATGAAAATACTGGGGAAATATCAATGGCAGAGAGTCTAGACTATGAAGAATGTGCATTTTATGAAATGGAAATACAAGCTGAAGATGCGGGGGCACTTTTGGGGAGGACCAAAGTGCTCATTTCGGTGGAAGATGTGAATGACAATAGATCAGAAGTGATCATTACATCTCTGTTTAGCCCAGTCTTGGAAAATACTCTTCCTGGAACAGTAATTGCCTTCTTGAATGTGCATGACCGAGACTCTGGGAAGAATGGTCAAGTTGTCTGTAACACACCTCATAATTTACCTTTTCAATTAGAAAAGTTAATAGATTATTATAGATTTTTGACAGTCCAAATTCTTGACAGAGGAAAAAACCTCTGAATATAACATCACAGTGACAGCAACAGACAGAGGAATGCCACCCCTGTCCACAGAAATTTACATCAACCTACACCCTAGTCATCAATGATAACCCAACTTCTCTGGAAACTCCTACTCAGTCTACCTCCCTGAGAACAACCTTAGAGGCATCTCCATCTTCTTGGTGCCAGCCTATGACCCTGACAGGGAGAGAACACCCAGGTGTTATTTATATCTTGGCTGAGGACACTATCCAGGAGTTGCCTCTTTCCTCCTATGTCTCCATCAGCTCTGACACTGGTGTGATGTACGTGCTATGCTCCTTTGGCTTTGAGTAATTTCATGATCTTCAAATGCAGGTGAGGGCAAGCTACAGTGGGAACCAACTGCTCCACAGCAGTGTGTCACTGAACTTGCTTGTGCTGGACCAGAAGGACAGTGCACCAGAAATCCTGTACCCCACTCTCCCCCACTGATGTTTCCACTGGTGTGCACTCTGCCAAACCTGGCTACCTGGTAACCAAAGTGGTGGCTGTAGACAGAGACTCAGGTCAGATTGCCTGGCTGTCCTACCACCTGCTCAAAGCCAGTGAGCCTGGGCGCTTCTCAGTGCAGGCCCTGCTAGACAGAGACACGCTCCAGCAGAGCCTGGTGGTGGTGGTGGTCCAGGACCACGGCTAGCCCCCTCTCTCGTCCACTTGTCACACTCACTGTGGCCTTGGCTGACAGCATTCCAGATGTGCTGGCTGACCTCAACAATCTGGAGGTCCCCGCATACCCAGAGACTTCAGACCTCACCTAATACTTTCTTGGTGGCAGTGGCTGCAGTCTCCTGCGTCTTCCTCACCATTGTCATTGTGTTGCTGGTGCTCAGGTTGTGGCGTTGGCACACCTCACATCTACTCCAGGCTGTGGGGGTTGGATTAGCTGGTGTGCCTACTTCTCACTCTATGGGTGTTGACAGCGTGTGGGCTTTTCTGCAGACTTAGTCCCAGGAAGCCTCACTCACAGAGGACTCCTGGGAGAGTCATGTGATCTTTCCCCAACCCAAGTACGCCAACGTGCTGATTAGCCAGAAGCGCTGTCAGAAAATGACACTTTGTGTGTTTCAGATGATTCTAGGTTTCCTATAGAAAACACCTCTTTGGTTCCAGTGAGTTCCATTTTTCCTTTATTTTCTATTATAACTGTTTTTTAAGGTTTGCACTTAAGGTATGATACACTGATGTTAACATATTTCACACCATTCAGTTTTCACTGGGCCTAATTATTGCTCTAACATTATAACATTATAGGAGGCATTTATTGGTTACATCACTGATATAATTTTCACTTTCTCATAATCAAATTAACCTACAGTCAATGGAAACCTTCTTCATGGGGCTGCTCTCATTATTGAGCATTGATATGGGCTATTTGGGTGTGTTTGCTTGGTTATCAGTTCACAACTAATCCTTAGGGGAGGTTTTCCATTCCTGAAATTTATTATTGTTATCTTCAAAGGCCCCATTGTGAACTTCTTACATACTGCTGAAACATAACTATATCTGATACTGATTTTGTAAAGGTAAATTAATAGCAAAACACATCCATTCTTCTTAAAGAAACTAAAAGCCCAGACTTTTCTGCTTCTGCTTTTCTGTTTCTATGATAGGACAACACCCCTTTGAGGTTATGTTTTTCAGATCACATGTTTGTAGAGGTTGTTTGAATTTAAAGATCACTGTTGAGGAAGAATGACACTTCACTTAGAGGGGTTTCTAAGAATGAACACTGAGAGAGGACAAAACAAGGGAGATAAAAATTATTCCTCAACTGTCTGTTATTTATGGCTCAATTCTCCAATCTACAGGTTAGAAATAAATCTGGATAAGGGAGACAATTTAGGAAAATATTCTCAGGAGCTGCTGGAGAAGGCTCTAAAAATATTTTACTGGCTTTTAGCTATAAGGAAAACAATATTTTCTTTGATTTTAAACAGTGTCATTTCAAGTAAAAAAATGACATTCCAGGAGACTTTTTTTTATGATTTATTTTTTGAGAGAGAGGGTGAAGGGGGGAGGGACAGAGAGGGGGGAGAGAATCTTAAGCAGACTCTGCATTCAGTGCAGAGCCTGAAGGGGGGCTGGATATCATGACATTGAGATCATGACCTGAGCTGAAATCAAGAGTTGGAGGCTTAACCAACTGAGCCACCCAAGCACCCCTCCAGGAGAATTTAAAAATAAGCTTTGAAGTTGACTCAAAATTCTATTCTAAACACACTGGCTATAGGGTTAACAAGTCTGGAAAGCCATTATGACATACAGACATAATTATTTCAAATACTCTATTCCTAAGCTAGTAAGAAAAAAAATTAAAGCATCCTTCAGGGTCATATTTTTTTCAAAGATTTTATTTATTTATTAGAGAGAGAGAGATAGCAAGAGCAGGAACACAATCAGGGGGAGTGGGAGAGGGAGAAGCAGGCTTCCGGCGGAATAGGGAGCCTGATGCGGGACTTGATCCCAGGACTCTGGAATCATGACCTGAGCCGAAGGCAGCCGCTTAATGACTGAGTCACCTAGGCCCCCCCAGGGTCATAGTTTTAACTGTGCAATTGGGAAACTGTCACTTGAAGTTTCTGTCCTGGGGAATAACCATTGGTACTTAGTATTCATAAATATTAAATATGCGTTAATTTGGGAAAAAATAGATATTGATGAAGGCTTGTATATCATGATAGGTTACTACTATTCTCTACCATTAATAATATCACTTGCAAGCTCACTGCATGGATAACTGGGCAGAGTGGGGAAAACGCTGAATTCTACTTTTCTCAAATGAGATAGGACTTTTACATTGGTAGCATTTTGTGTAACAAAATAGACTAAAATCTTTGCGTATCTTAATGTTTCATCTTAAGAGTTAAAATATCTTGGATTTGCTTCAAAATAATGAGGGAGTACAATATGTATGTTGAATGAAGATGGCCTTGTGTTGATCGTTATTGCCATTGGGTGATGAGTATATGAAGAGTCAATAAATACTCTCTACTTTTGTATAAGTTTGAAATTTTTGCATAATAAATTTCTTTAAACACTAAGTACATACAACTGTAAAACTTTAGTAAAACTAAAATTTCGGGCTCTTATATAAGTGCATTTTCAAATAGCAATGTATACGTATTCTACATATAGAGAGAAAAATATATCATTATATATATTTCTATATATATTTCTCTTATACATATTTCTCTCTATATATATTTCTCTATGTATACAATTGGCCTCCAAGTCCGCTCTATTGCAGTGACAGCCACTCACTGGGATGAGGGGGTCAATGCAGAAGTAAACTACTACTTCAGGAGCACTTCTCAGAGTACAGGAAATTTATAGAAATTTATATAGGAGTTTCGAAGGGCAATATTTATATTCTAGAGATAGTCTAGAGAAAAATTGGATTCAAAAGGAAAACATCAGACTGCGGTACCACATGGGGCCCCTGGGCGCCGCTGTCGGCCAGTACAGGGCAAGTGCTGTCGCCCGGGATTCCTCAGCCTCAAGCCTGGGTTTTCCTGCTCAGTCACCAACGCAAACGGAAGGAAACCCGCTCACACACTGAGGCTCCTGGCCGCGCAGGCTTTGCCCAACATACACAGATTTCCAGCTCCGCTTGTCATGGTCGGAATGTTCTTCCAGTGATCCCGTGGATTGCAGTTTTTTCAGCTTTCCGGAAAGACTAGGACCCAGCGAGAGCTAGAGCGCGCTATGGGAGGGAGCTGCGTTCAGAGGCGCCCCGCCAGCAGGCTGCAGGTACTGTTTCCCTTCCTGCTACCTTTGTTCTACCCCGCGCTCTGCGAGCCGATCCGCTACTCCATTCCCGAGGAACTGGCCAAGGGCTCGGTGGTGGGGAATCTCGCCAAGGATCTCGGGCTCAGCGTCCTGGATGTGTCGGCTCGGAAGCTGCGAGTTAGCACAGAGAAGCTGCTTTTCAACGTAGATGCGGAGAGCGGGGACTTACTGGTGAAGGACCGAATAGACCGTGAGCAGATATGCAAAGAGAGAAGAAGATGTGAGTTGCAGTTGGAAGCCGTGGTGGAAAATCCTTTAAATATTTTTCATATCATTGTGGTTGTTGAGGATATTAATGACCATGCCCCTCAGTTCCATAAAGATGAAATAAATTTAGAAATCAGTGAATCTGTATCTGAAGGTACACGAATATCCCTTGACCCTGCCACTGACCCCGATATAAACATGAACTCAGTTAAAGATTATCAGATAAATCCTAACCCTTATTTCTCATTAATGATTAGAGTTAATTCCGATGGTAGTAAATACCCAGAGTTATCTTTGGAGAAGCTCCTAGACCGGGAAGAGCAGCGTTCTCATCGCTTGATATTGACTGCCTTGGATGGGGGAGACCCACCACGAAGTGCCACCACTCGAATAGAAATCTTTGTCAGGGATGCCAATGACAACTTCCCGGTGTTCAGCAAAGATGAATATAGAGTCAGTGTTAGTGAAAATCTGCCCCCCGGATCCTCCGTGTTGCAGGTGACAGCCACTGACAAAGATGAAGGGGTCAATGCAGAAGTAAACTACTACTTCAGGAGTACTGCTCAGAGTACAAGGCACATGTTCACACTGGATGAGAAAACAGGTATGATTAAGAATAACCAGTTATTGGATTTTGAGGATACAGAAAGATACACCATGGAAGTGGAAGCAAGGGATGGAGGTGGTCTCTCTACCCAATGTAAAGTAATCATAGAAATCCTAGATGAAAACGACAACAACCCCGAAATAATCATCACTTCTCTCTCTGATGAAATTTTGGAGGATACTCCTCCAGGAATGGTGGTGGTTCTCTTCAAAACACGGGACAAGGATTTCGGAGAAAATGGAGAAGTTGTCTGTAACATAGGAAGGGATATTCCTTTCAAGATTTATTCCTCTTCTAAGAATTACTACAAGCTGGTGACAGATGGACCCCTAGACCGAGAACAGACTCCGGAATACAATGTCACCATAACAGCCACTGACAGGGGCAAGCCGCCCCTCTCCTCCAGTACTACCATCATCCTGCACATCACCGACGTCAATGACAACGCGCCGGTTTTCCATCAGGCCTCCTACGTGGTTCACGTGGCCGAGAACAATCCTCCAGGCGCCTCTATTGCCCACGTCAGCGCCTTGGACCCGGATCTGGGACCCAACGGCCGCGTCTCCTACTCCATCGTGGCAAGCGACCTGGAGCCACGCGCGCTGGCGTCCTACGTGTCCGTGAGCGCGCAGAGCGGGGTGGTGTTCGCGCAGCGCGCCTTCGACCACGAGCAGCTGCGCGCCTTCGAGCTGACCCTGCAGGCCCGCGACCAGGGCTCGCCCGCGCTCAGCGCCAACGTGAGCCTGCGCGTGTTGGTGGGCGACCGCAACGACAACGCGCCCCGGGTGCTGTACCCGGCGCTGGGGCCCGACGGCTCGGCGCTCTTCGACACGGTGCCGCGCGCCGCGCAGCCCGGCTACCTGGTCACCAAGGTGGTGGCGGTGGACACAGACTCGGGACACAACGCCTGGCTGTCCTACCACCTGCTCAAGGCCAGCGAGCCAGGACTCTTCACCCTGGGGCTGCACACGGGCGAGGTGCGCACGGCGCGCGCTTTGGGCGACAGGGATGCGGCCCGCCAGCGCCTGCTGGTCGCTGTGCGGGATGGGGGACAGCCGCCCCTCTCGGCCACAGCCACGCTGCTCCTGGTTTTCGCCGACAGCCTACAAGAAGTGCTGCCAGATGTCAGCGACCGCCCGGCGCCCTCTGACCCCCAGGCTGAACTGCAGTTTTACCTAGTGGTGACTTTGGCCTTGATCTCGGTGCTCTTCCTCCTCGCGGTGATTCTGGCTGTTGCCCTGCGCCTGGGACGCTCCTCCAGCCCTGCCGCCGCCTGGACCTGCTTTCAGCCTGGTCTGTGTGTCAAGTCAGGACCTGTGGTTCCTCCCAACTACAGTGAAGGGACTTTGCCTTATTCCTACAATCTGTGCGTTGCCCATACTGGAAAGACAGAGTTTAATTTTCTAAAGTGCAATGAGCAGTTGAGTTCAGGACAAGATATACTACTTTGTGGTGATTCATCTGGGGCCTTAATTCCACTTCAGGGTGGGCATGATTTGACTGCACATCCTGAGACTCTCACACCGGTGAGTTCCACTTTTGTGTCTTCTGAAATATTCTACTCATTTCTTTTATTTCAGGCATACTACTGCATTTTTATATATAGAATCGTATTTAGAATATCTGTAACCAATCACCTTTTTGTCTTCTCAATGTTTACTTTTTGCTGATTATATTTTTCAAGATTTACTTGGTTCATAAGTTGCTCTATAATTCAGAAATAATGTTACTAAATTGGGGATATCTAGTCAAGTTCAGATTAACAAACAGGCAGTGGCTTCTTACCAAATACATTAATAGTTAATTATTCAAATCTGATAAGATTTAAGATGAATTTTCCATATCCTACTTATATGTTTTGAGTTTAATAATATTAAGCTATGCATTAGTGCTTGTTTCAAAGAAACATTTATTGCAAATAATATCCTGGGTACATTTAGGTATCTTTCTTTATCTTAATAGTTTAAAAAACTAAGCATTTGAGGGGAGCTGATGAGCAGATCCACAAGTCTCTGAAATGCTATGGGAAGTTGTAAATGTATGTATTTTCCTTGGATGATGAGTCAGAACTTGTTTTCCATTGCCGAGTTTTCTATGGTCCCCAGAACTTAATACTAACTACCCTAGAAGAATTTTTTCTCTTCTACTTTTGGTTTTTCTGGTTGTTTTCTTATATTTATCTTTTCTTGGAGTTTAAATTGTCTCTTTCCTAATCTTTTTTTCTTTTACATTGCAAGATAATGAATTTCCAAGGAAGCAAATGAAACATCATTGCCTTTTGCATGCACTCTCTGTCTCTGATTGTCTGATATAAAACCTTTGAAGACAAAACATAAAATCTTTGAAGAGTTCCATACTTGGGGGGTGTAGTGACATAAACAGTTCTGAACTTGTTCTCTGAATTAAAGATGTGAACCTAGGGGCGCCTGGGTGGCTCAGTCGGTTAAGCATCTGCCTTCAACTCAGGTCAGGATCCCAGTGTCCTGGCTCTTCTCAGCAGGGAGTCTGCTAGTCTCCCTCTCCCTCTGCCCCTCCCCCTACTCGTACTGTCTCTCACTCACTCATTCACTCTCTCTTTCTCAAATAAATAAGTAAAATCTTAAAAAAAAAAAAAAGGAAAGATGTGGACCTCTCAACTCCTCACCTTTGAGGAGAGAATTGCTGCTGGGTTGATAGGCACATACAATTGAAGATGTGTGAACCACTTCACTTTAGGCTTCCATACAAAATGCCAAAAGAAGAGATTGTTTATGTTGGCATCAGTGCTCTGATGAAAACAGGTCATCTGAGTAAATATTTATTTTTTAAAAAAACATACATCACGAGTCTAACTTTGTCTTTAAAATTGTAGCTTGAAATTCTTATAGATATTTTTCTTCGCATTACAACACAGGCATGTTATGTTTCTTTTAGTTTGTGGTTACTTGTTCAATTCATTTAAATAGTCAAATTAACTTCTAATTATATATGTCTATAATAAACATTTTTTTCAAAAAATTCACGAAGGCTCAATAAAACTATTTTAGAAAGAAGAATATTTTGAAAACCTTTTCCACAATATTAATGCTAAACAAATTTAATTAATTGGTTAATTAGTTAAAGCTAAAATAAAAATTATAAGTGCATTATAAGGGATATATCTCATATAGTCTCTAAATGAATGTCTACTAAACATAATGGGACCATTTCAGCCAAAATTTCAAATAAGATTGTAAGACTTTTCTGAATATAGCTAGAAGCTTATAAGAAATAGACTAGACATTACTTAACCTTTTAAAGTGGATACGTTTCTACTGAGAAAATAAGTGTTACAGATGTATACTTGACCAGTTATTTTCATTTAATATTTTATAGTACTTTCATTCCATTTATCCTACTCAGTAAGAAACCTACAAATAGTAGTTGGCTTAAGGGATATCAGTTGAGAAACCAAAGAAGTATTGTAAAATAAAATAAAATATCCAACAAAGAGTAGCGTTTGTTGTCCATTGCATACCCAGTGGGTGCAGTAACTTCTGAGGACTCTGAGCGCCGCTGTTCGCCTGCTAGGAGAGAAGCGCAGCCCGCGCTCAATCCGGATTCTCAGGGCTCTGACTACACAAAGCTCCTCAGTTCCTACGAACCGGCTGCAGAGCTGCAGCAAAACTCACTCCAGAATTTAAGGTGCCTAGGCTACCGAGGCTCTCTGAAGCCAGGGAAAGAAAAAGGAATCGGTCAAAACACACAACGTGCCCAGTGAGTACTTGGCAAGAATTCCTTGACTAGACAACAATGGCTGCTAAAACGAACCGCTCCAACCGCACCGCGCTGGTTCTGCTCTGTCTTGTTCTCGGTCTGTCATGGGAGGCTGAAGCCCGGCAGATCCGCTACTCCGTTCCTGAGGAGCTGGAGAAAGGCTCTTTCGTGGGCAACATTTCCAAAGATCTGGGGCTGGAGCCCCGGGAGCTGGCGGAGCGTGGCGTCCGCATCGTCTCCAGAGGTAGGACGCAGCTTTTCGCTCTGAACCCGCGAAGCGGCAGCTTGGTCACCGCGGGCAGGATAGACCGGGAGGAGCTCTGTGCTCAGAGCGCGCGGTGTCTGGTGAATTTTAACATTCTTGTGGAAGATAGGGTGAAACTTTTTGGGATCGAAATAGAAGTAACTGATATCAACGATAATGCCCCAAAATTCCAAGCAGAAAATGTAGATGTAAAAATTAATGAAAATGTCGCTCCAGGGATGCGATTTCCTCTCCTGGAAGCTGTTGATCCGGATGTGGGTGTGAACTCCCTCCAAAGCTACCAGCTTAGCTCCAATAAGCACTTCTCCTTAGCAGTTCAGAGTCATGCTTATGGAGTCAAATACCCAGAGCTGGTGCTGGAGCATGCCCTGGATCGGGAGGAAGAGGCAGTGCACCACCTTGTCCTCACTGCCATGGACGGGGGTGACCCTCTCCTATCTGGTACGGTTCTCATCAGTGTGACTGTCTTCGATGCAAATGACAACGCACCAGTCTTCACATTGCCAGAATATCATGTGAATGTTCTGGAGAGCTTGCCTGTGGGCACACAGCTGCTGACAGTCACTGCCACAGACAGGGATGAAGGAGCCAATGGAGAAGTAACATATTCGTTCCGAAAATCACCTGACACACAATTGTTGAAATTCCAACTAAACAAAAACACTGGAGAAATAAAATTATCAGCAAATCTAGATTATGAAGAAACAGATTTCTATGAATTAGAAATACAAGCAGAAGATGGAGGAGCATATCTTGCAATGGCAAAAGTATTGATTACAGTAGAAGATGTAAATGACAACAGTCCAGAGGTGACCATCACATCTCTGTTTAGTCCCCTGATAGAAGACTCACCTCTGGGGACTGTTATAGCCCTTTTAAACGTGCATGATCCAGACTCTGGGCAGAATGGACAGGTCACCTGTTCCATATCAGAGAATCTACCATTTAAGTTAGAAAAATCCATCGACGGTTATTATAGACTGGTGACACACAGAACCCTTGACAGGGAACAGGTATCCTCTTACAATATTACAGTGATGGCCACAGATGGAGGAAATCCACCCCTATTAATGGAAACTCACTTCACCCTGCAAGTGGCAGATATTAATGATAACCCACCCACCTTTTCCCACATCTCCTACTTCACCTATATCCTGGAGAACAACCCTAGAGGTGCCTCCATCTTCTCAGTGACTGCACATGACCCGGACAGCCACGAGAATGCTCAGGTTATTTACTCCCTAGCTGAAGACACTTTCCAGGAAGCACCTCTATCCTCCTACATCTCCATAAACTCTGACACAGGAGTCCTGTATGCACTTCGATCCTTTGACTACGAACAGTTTCGTGATCTACAGATTCAGGTGATTGCCACTGACAGTGGGGACCCACCACTTAGCAGCAATGTGTCACTGAGTATATTCGTGCTGGACCAGAATGACAACACACCAGAGATCCTGTACCCTGCTCTCCCCACCGATGGTTCCACCGGCATGGAGCTGGCACCCCGCTCCGCAGAGCCCGGCTACCTGGTCACCAAGGTGGTGGCGGTGGACAGAGATTCGGGCCAGAACGCCTGGCTGTCCTACCGCCTGCTCAAGGCGAGCGAGCCAGGGCTCTTCGCGGTGGGGCTGCACACGGGCGAGGTGCGCACGGC